CCTAAATAAAAAATTAGCAAGCACCGATTTTGTGGTAGTTTTTGCTAGTGGTCAAATTTGTGTATGTAATGCCATAAATGTTTGTGATGGTAGTTGATGACGATGATAATGAAGGGGCTATGCTACTCAGATGTGGCTGGGATGCTGTTGATCGATGATTATTCTAGCGTCACTACAACAAAAATAGCATACGGCAACGTCGTAGGCCTACTTCAAAAAACGTTGCATAAGTGATTTAGAGAATTCAAGTCTTTGAAACATTCTCATAGAAATAACCATACTTTACACTTATATAGATAATCTCCTATTAAGAATACCCATCATACCCCACTTAAATAGTTTAAAATATGTGAATAATTAAAAGTATAATTTAACCTAAAACTTTCTGCAGATAGCACATTCTCGTAAGAATGGGTATGAGTTAATTCCGAAGTGCTTCTTTGAATTTTTATAACCAAAATTTTGGGATCTCCAATCAACAAGGTTTGGTTACCATTACAAAGATTTCCAGCGTAGTAGGCTTTAAACACATTCCCCTTGATAGACAGTATACTTGATATCTTGGTAAGCCTTTGGTAAGTAGATCACGAGATTTTTTCTAGACTTTACACAATCTATAGAAATAATACAATTTGAGATCAACTGCTTAATTGTATTATGTATTCGACGAATATGTCGAAACTTACCATTATACATATTACTTTATGCTCTACCGATAGCCAACTGACTATCACAATGTATACTAATTGCTGGCACAGGTTTAAGCCAACATGAAATATCCTCTAAACATTTTTCAAAGTCATTCTGCTTCCTCTCCAACTTTTTTTAAAGCTATGAACTCAGATTGCATCGTGAATCGAGTTATACATGTTTTTTTAGAGGATTTCCAAGATACGACCGCACAACCAATAGTAAAAACATACGCACTAGTGATTTTGAATTTTGTATCTGATATCTAATTGGCATCACTGTATCCTTCTAATACAGTTGGATATTAGTATAATGCAATCAAATATTTGAGGTGTATAGTAGATATCTAAGAACCCTTACCAATGCCTAAACCTAATCCACGTGTCACGCACAGAAAAATCGAAGAAAAAAAAATAGAATAAAGCTGAAGTGTCAGAAAATGGTTGCCCACTTGAGTGACCGACCCTCACAAGGGCGTGGGCCCGACGTGGGACCCGCACGAAATAAAAAATGGA